GCATTACCTTTAATGATACCCTGGGTAAGTGCAGAAAATGTGGAATATATACGTTTAAATGGGAGCCATTTATTTTAAACTAATTTAACTACAAGGGTAATTTTGTCCTTAAAAGGTGGATGTGAAAATGAATTAAAACGTCAAGGAGTGTGAGTGTAATGTTTCAAACTTGATGGAGTTTTGTGAAAAAACGATAAATCTCAAGGGATGTTAGTGTAAATAACCTATCTTAAAAGAAACAATTTGATAATTAATTCTATTTGTAATGCTTTTGACTTTTCTTACTTGTCATGAGCAAGGGAGTTGGGTAATGTCATAGTCTGCTGCTATAGCCTCTAAAGATGTTAGACTGTGCGTGAAAATCTTTGTGGGCCCTCGTGATGAAGTTCTCTTCCTAGTGTCCCGTGTATGATCATCCCTTAAGGAAACTCTTGGATGAGGCTTTCATTCATTATAACTGGATGAAATGTTCACTTTGGATTGTTATTTTACCCATTGGTAGGAATTGTTTTTAACTCGGTCTGAGTTCTTATGATGTATGAAGTGGTTCATGTGTTAAAAGAGAAAAAATCTCTACCATGTCAACTAGCTTTGGTCATAGCAATTCATCCATACATGCTATACTTAACCTAATATGTTGTTTTATACCTCTGAAGTTTTCTTCTCTGTCTCCTTTCTTTTCAATTTCAGAAGGGGGGTAAGGTTAGCTTGATTTTCTTCTCTGTGCAGTGCAACAAGGGAAAAGAAGTAAGGTAAATTTCCGACTCTCTGATAATTGAAGTATTGGTGTAGTTCTCTCACAAATAATGGTAACTAAATATCTTCTCAAAATTCTATACACAATATTATATTGTACATGAAAAAATGTTTTCTGCCTAGAACAATGTATAGAGAAGTCATTGTAGAGCATTAAGCTTCTAATAAGAGACCTTATTCTCAAAAGCGATTCTCTTCAGATTGTCTAAGCTTTGCAAGAGCAATCCCTCAACCTCTCGCCGGTTGACCCTATATTGAGATGCAAAAGGTTTGCTAGACTGAACTACTGGAGATTTCATTACACCATAATCGTGCATTTATTATTTAAGGGGAAACTTGGCAAATAACCGTAATCCTCAGGTTGAAATAGTTACTCATAACCGTAATCCTCAAGTATATACTAGCAAATAACCGATAACCGTGATTAACCATACTCGTGGGTATTTTGGCCGTCCCTTGACCATTTGAAGCATGCACCTCCAACATATATATATATATATATATGGTCGCATTCTGAAGCCGAAAACGAAAGGGAGCAAAATTGAAAATGTTAATAATGTTTCTGATGGTGGGGAAGTAATTATTTAGGAGAATGTTTTATTCACACCTCACATTGTGTTCAATATACTTTGCATTTACTTTTTGAATCAAAATTCTTCTTAATACATATCACATACTTTCCTATACTATCCTCAAATATTCCACATTTTCTACATACACCCCACACTCTCAACATACATCCAACATGTCTTCCCTCATTATTCCTTCTCCCCACGCCTCCATCTTTCAAGACTCTCATTAATCATGTAAATGCTAATGATATGAGGTGGACTACATGGTATTTGATTGTTGGTTTAGGTTACTGGGAGAGCACAAGTCCAAAATTTGCATCCCTTCTGTTACTCATTTAGAACCAATAATCTCTCAAAACTTTGACCCAAAAAAGAACGATAGGACATATGGTTGATGTTTTTTTTAGAGGGATTAGGTTCTCATCCGTCTTTTTGTTACTCCATTGATTAAAACCTTATTACTTTTCAATTTTTGATAAAGGTCCCTAGGTTTTAATAAACATCATTAATTATTTCAATAATAAAATATTTTTTATTTCTAAATATATTCATATATTGTTAGAAATGTTACATATGGTATATTTATATTTATGGCAAAATTTTCTATCATATATTTTCATTTTTAGTTCGGAACTTTGCGCAAGTACCATCTAAACTTAAAAAGCATATGCGCTAATACCACATGAACTTTCAATTGTATATAGTTAGAGCAATTGGATTAAACTGTAAACAAGTTAAAGAAGAATCAAAGACCTTAATTAATTAACAAGAGTAAACATACGGTGAAAAGTGATGAGCAATTAATCGCTCTCTTTTAAAATCCCGTGAAAACCGTTTACATCTATTTTGCATGAAAGAATGCTAGAATTAGTTGCATATAAGTTGATCATGATATATAATTCTTAATTGTGAGACTTATGAAAACATGAAAGTGGCGAAATTAATTTAGGCACAGGTTTTCATCCGTTATTAAACGTTCATAGCCTAAAACTCATGTCATCCACTCATGTTTTTACAAGTGTAAGTTCATTACTTTTTTTTTTCCCATAAAGTGAAGAACTCAACTATTTTTTTAATTAAAAAAATGAAAAAATATAAAGAAAAATGGCTTTAAGGCATTAGTACGTACTGGTTCGCAATCTGAAGCCAAAAACGAAAGGGAGCAAAATCGAAAATGTTAATAATGGCTCTGAGTCGGACAAAGCCACGCATTCCTTTTTTTTATAATTAAAAATTAAAATAAAATAAGCCATTCATGAACCTCTCCTCCTCATCCTCCTACTCTGCCTATAAAATAAGCTTCACAGGAGAGTATTCACCCAACACAACTCAGACTTCCTCTAGCAACAGCTTAGTTTCTTTTTACCACCCTCCACCTACCACCATTAATCCCGACCCCCCTCGACTGGTCGTCAATCCCCTCCAAAGCTTGTGTAATCCAATTTCTCACCTGCGCCTTCGTGATTCCTTTTGCACGCATAAAGGTACTCCCTCTCCAACACCCATGCTCACTTCCTAAATGCATTCCCAGCTTGATGTGCGTCAAAGTAAGGTTTGAATTCTCCAACTCCGGTATATATTCCCCTCTTTCAACATGCCTGCAGTAATCCTTAACTGTCTGCATCTTCGATGCAGATATCCTCCTCCTCACCAACACCTTGACTTGCTCCTTTCTCAGCACAATCATACTTTCATTTTTCGTAATCGCCAGGAGATTCTGCCTGAGCTGGGTCAAAGTGTTGTTATATTGGTTTTGGGATCGGGTAGGGTTCGAAATGCAATTAATGTTTCTGAGTATTTCATCTGCTCTCGGAGAGAGTTTTGGCTAGCTGTGCCTTTCTATGAGACTTGTTTGCAAAAACTTTGCATCTATGGGGAGCCATTTTTGCCACAGAGCTGCCACCCTCCACCCACCACAATGTTCAAATCCATTTTCAAAGCTGTTGTTAGCTTTGTGGCAAAAATGGCTCCCCATAGATGCAGAACTTTTGCAAGCAAGTCTCATAAGGAGGCACAGCTAGCCAAAATTCTCTCCGAGAGAAGATGCAATACTTAGAAACACTAATTGCATTTCGAACCCGACCCGATCTCAAAACCAATATAACAATGCTTTGACCCAGCTCAGGTAGAATCTCCTAGTGATTACGAAAAATGAAAGTGTGGTTGTGCTAAGAAAGGAGCAAGTCAAGGTGTTGGTGAGGAGGAGGATGCAGTCAGCTGAGGAACAGCAGACGTGCTGAAAGAGGAGAATATATACCGGGGCTAGAGAATTCGAACCTTACTTTGACGCACATTGAGCTAGGAATGCATTTAGGAAGTGAGCATTGGCGTTGGAGAGGGAATACCTTTGTGTGTGTAAAAGGAATTATGAAGGCGCAGATGAGGAATTGGATTACACAAGCTTTGGAGGGATTGACGACCAGTCGAGGGGGGTCGGGATTAATGTTATTGAGGATTGAGGGATGGGATTGATGTCCGTGTTGTTGATTTGTTAATTAGTTATGAGTGAAGCTTGTTCAGGTTATGGTGGTAGTAGTGCTAGAGTGGAGTGTTTTATATTATGTTGAAAGTCTATTTTGTGTTTGGCTCATACATTTGTGAGTAATTACGAGTCATGTGTTGACAACAATTGAAGACCATGTGAATGCTACAAGGAAATGGCAGCAACCGTGACTTTGTGTTTGCTTGCATGCAATTGTGCATGCTTTCTCTTCTATGCATTAAATGGCAAATGGAGAAAAAGTTGTACTCTATAGGCTAGGTATAGACTTTGGTGCATGCTAGGTAGGCTAGGTGATGATTATGTCATGTGAACTTAAGACTTCTTGGTCTTGGATGTTAGCATAGTTGCTAGTGTATGCCTATAACTAGATGCAATATTTGTGCATTTAGTATGCTTGGAAAGTGGGAAGGTAAGCATCATAGAAACATCCAAGGGGGAGAGCATCCGGCTCTCCCATGGGAAAGGTTGAACATGGGTTTAGAGAAAATCAAGAGAGCTAGAGTGAAAAGTATTCTAGTGAAAGAATTCTTGGGGGTAGATTGATGCTCTTGGGAAAATTCTGTGAGTGTGTGTACAAGGGATTTGGGATTGGGTTATGTCAATTTAACTCATATGTAACTTGTACTGTTATTCTTATAGTGAAGAACAATATTTCTCCGGAAACGTAGACAAGTTTTTACTGAACCCCGTAAATTTCTCGGTATCTTTATTTCTTGTATTTTATTATGTTTAACTGTGGATCTGTATATTGGTGAGGTAATTTGAATCTCATTTCCGCATTAACGAATGGGCCAAAGCACAATAGTATAGTTGTGTAAGTTGATGAGTCGTCGGTCGTCGGTCATGTAGTGTAGTAAGTTGTTGAGAGTCGTTCGTCTTGTCATGAGGATGCCAGGTACGTACGTGGGCTTTTGGCATGCAGTCGAGTTTATGAATTTGCTATGAGATTATTAATAGATTTCATATTTAGTTTCAAACTAGAAAGTTATGCCAGCGCGTTATTGCGGGATTAGAAATTGTGTGAAATATTATGTTTTCAAGGTATAAACACATGAACTTATATCATATCTAATTGAATTACTGCAACAACATATTGGTGGATTTAATATGAAAATTCATAAACTATTCAACAATATGAAATCCATCAATCTCTAAAGATGAGAAATGAATGTCGAAAGTAGAAATCCTACCTCATATATTAAAACAATTAACAAATTCGCAGAGAATGATTACAAAAAGGTATAGAAAAGTAATTCAATTTTTTATTTCAAAAATAGGAACCATATAAGAGAAGGGTTCTAAGTTCTCAATTCTCACCATAACGAAAAGTTTGATAACGTTTTAACATTAACTTGGGTTGATTTCGAACACCATCATCAATAAAACCAGTGACTTCAACCTGTGCAAGCAAACGACCGAATTAGACGCAAGCCAACCAACTTTGAATTCAACCAAATTAAAAAAAAATACAAAAACAATTACAATTAAACTAACCTCTTCTTCCTATATAAAGTAGTTGTTCCCTGTTTTGCCTTTGTCACACCCTACACACTCAAAATGCTCAGCAACATTATAAAAACTATACGTATACAGTATTGCATATGTATTATGTATATGTATTTAGACATAAGGCATAAAGATTTACTAAAATAATCAAGCTTAAATTTAACAAAAGAAGTAACTACGAATTGGAATCAAACGATACAATAATTACTAAAAAAAAATTGACTAAATTTTACAAATAGTATCATAAATTGTTAAAAAATTAACATCATTGAAAAAACTCATTACTCAAATATGTATTTCTATTAAAAACATCACTGAAAACCCCAAGGAAAGGGTTACTTATTCCTAACTTGGCAAACAATTTCTATAGTCATACTGAAGCAAGGAAAACAGATGGTCTGTGACTCTTGTATCATTTAAAGGCAAGGCTAAAAGGGTTAATAAATTATTCCTTTTTCTTAAAATCTTGTATTATTATCTATATCTTGAGCTGGACCCACTGATCCACAACAAAAACGGACGTAAATACACCAATGAAAAAACTTATAACAGCAAGACTAAGATTAAAATTATTGTATTTTAACATCTCACATACAACACGAAAATCATACACAATCTTTTGAATGATTAACTACAACCAACTACTATTTCTTAATTTTGAATCCACCAACTCTACAAATTTTAATAAAAACTAAACACAATTAAACTCACATTCCAATTCAACCAAAATTCAACAAATTCACCCCAAATTAGATCAACAGAAAGAGAAACATGGGAAAAACCAAATGGAGAGAGAGATAAAGGAGAGAGAGAGGTCACAACGAGTTTCTGTTCTGAATTTTTGAATGATTACCCGGCTAATTAGATGTTGAAAATATATTAGTGATTAGTACGGTAAAAACTTTTCCCATGAGTGGATATAAATTTCTTATGAGTCTTAATTATTAGTTAACCCCAAATTAAGTGAGATAACGTGCAGACAGAAAGACACCTCATTGGCATTAAATTATTTTTGTTTATTGATGAATATAAACTGAATTTTTCAGTGAGAATGTTGGAGAAAAAGACCAAAATAAAATAATTACGTAACAATACATAAAACCCGATCAACATTTAAGAAAAGTATGAGAGAGGGAGAGACAGAGAGTCCAACCTTAATAGTTTGCATGAAATCTTGTTTCTATACTATCTCCGTAATCGTATCACCCGTAGAACTACTGAAATAATACCAATAAATGTGAAATTAAAATCTAAACTTGAATAATTGGATAGATATATATATATACAATCTGATATTATTGCTCAAGAGTGTAGAAGATATAAGACTGCTGTAAAACGAAAACAATTGTGATCTACGAACATAAAGCTGCAATTGTAAAACCAAAACAAATGTATCCATTAAAAAGTGCAATCAAAGCATATAACCTCATCCAGCTGGATTTTACATATCAATATGTAAATTGGGTCAAAATCAAATCCAAAACCCATTAATAAAATCCAATCTTTTACTTCAATGCAATCATAAATTAAGATTAAAACATTATTACCTGCTAAGAAATCCCAATAATCAAATCCTTCTTGTCACTTGGAAGAATCGATTGGAGCCAATTCGGGTCACGTTCTCCTTGTTATTCAATCACACAAACCAAAATTCCAAGTTGAAAGCATTTATAAAAGACAAATAAAAACTATTACAAATTAAAGAGAAAAAAATGGTAAGAATAAAGAAAGAGGAGCGTGTGTACGGAGGAGAGAATCAATGAGCATCGACAATCTTCGCTGGATTTCAATAATATGAAATCATAGACGGTAATTCCATAAGTGTTTTAATCCTAAGATTTTAACTGATTTCAAGTAGTATACAACCAAGATCCTACTGGATTTTGAGTTGTATACTGATCTCCATTAAGCCATCGAGTCCTCTTGTCATCCGAGGATGCAAGTTCATTGGTGAAACCACATGGATCATTCGCACAAATAAATGCTAAAGGAAAAAGCCCTGTAATCAATTAGTAAATGGTTAGTCTTTTCTAATAGATAAATGTGAAGAAAGAAAGAAAGATAGATAGATAGATAGATAAAAGCATGTTATGAAAATTGACAAAGTAGAGAGGAACTGAAATAGACCTCAGCAAGAGTAGTAGTATTCTGCGGAGGGTGCCCAGTTCTTGCCCTCTTGAACTTCAAACCTTGTCCTACATTAGAAACAATGAGATCATTGTCGACAAAAAATACAATCGGAAAGTTGGACACAAACCAAACTTGAGTAGCTGTGACCAAATGATGATAATTGCATGAAAAAGGAAAAAAAAAAAAAAACAACAACAAATAACACTTCACATACAATTTGAATTGAAAACTGGATTCAAAATTCCCCTCCTTATCTTAAGACATAAAATGAGATAAAATGCTATTACAAACAACACTTCACACACAGAGTGCGCAACGAAAAATGAGATCATAAATAATTATGATAAGGAAAATTCAAATGAGGAGGGGAATTATAAACTACAGAATACTTTACAGAGTGCACAACCTATTTGAAATCTCCATCACTCATTTGAATGAAAATAATGAAATTGTAACCAAGTATGTATTTTGAAAGAAGAAGGAAGCGAATGAGAGAAGTATACCACTCTTTCGGGAGTTCAGAAAAGAAGGCTGAAATCAAGAGAGGGCATTGCCATCAATGCCTGCACATCAATATAACAATTGTGCACATTAAACACACTTCTTATTTTCACCAATATTCTGCATTAAAAAGGTAAAACTAAAAGAAAGATTTCAAAGAAACAAGATTTAATACGGAAGTTAACCAAGATGCGGGTAACAATTTGGGTGCTCATACGGTCAGATCGAACTGCACACAAAGCGAGAAAAAAAAAAAAAAAAAAAAAAAAACAGGATAAAGTTAGACATAATACAACACATGAAACCATTGAAAACAATAAAGCTTTGTAGTATATTATGAATTCTAAAACATTAACCAAGGAAAAGATTTAGTTGCAGTAAGTAATGGATTTTAAAACAAGAACAAAATCAAGAAAACTCAGTTTTGCAGTAAGTCGTAAACACCATGCGAAATAGCAAACGGAAGCCAGTTGTTTAGCAGTGAACAATAGAGAATACGCCAAGAATCCAAACCCAGGAAACTTCAAATCCAAGTAGTACTCTCTAAAAAGCTTATCATATTTTAGACATGTGATTTGCTACATAGGAAAGGGATGAGTTTAAGAAAAGTGGAATAGATTTGGAATCACAAGCACCTCAAAGGGATTTTATGATAGCTCTCTTAAAACCAAACGAAAATATTAGGGTTTCTTATTTCTTATCCAGATCCCCCATGTGAATCAAATCTCTGTAGCCGAGCTTGAAATTCGTGTCAAATCACCTCCACAGTACAAACCTGCAGACAGAAACAATACCCATTATACCTTTTTTCAGATGGATTTTAGAGACAGAGGAGAGAGATTAGGGTTTAAGGACAATAATGAAAACTAATTTTATGCTGAGAGGATCTAGTGAAGAAATTGTGATAGCCAGAACGAGGTTGAGAGCTACGGAAGCAGAGATTTGAGAAAGAGTGAAAACGAAAGGAAAAATGTTGAAGAAAAGTAATTTGCTTGAGCTATACACTCTTGTTTTTACAGTATTGTGTCTCTGTATTAGTTTGTTTCCCTTTCCTCGCTAATTAATTTGTACTTCCTGGGTTTTGTTTGTCCTGCTCAGTTTGCTTTCTGGGCAGGCCGGTTGCTTGTTTTAATGAATAAAAACTGCAGAAAATTGACAAATTAAATAAATGGTGCAAAATGTTTTGTTACAGAAATATATCCATCATAATTTGTATTCAAGTTCATCATGTGGCGGGATCAAAAAGTAACCTAGCTAGTTATATATACTACAATATCTAGTTTGACGTGGACCTCTCTCTATTTTATAAGGGTTTTTTGAACGTTACATATAAATTAAGCCTATATATAAATATCAAATTTTCGATCAGTTCATCCTTAAGCCATCTCCAATCGAAGGATCTAGAGGGCTAGAGGTTTGAAAATAGCCCGAAAACTGTTTCCAACAGAGAGCTAGGCCAGAGGGCTCGTGGGCCCCACAGAATCTGAAAAGGCCAAAGGGCCAACTGGCTGGCTCAATCTAGCCAGCCCCGGGTTGGGCTAGAATTTTCGTTATTCCTGTCGGATATAACTGTCAGTAATAGTTACTTATTCCTGTTGGATATAACCGACATGAATGGTGGGCAAAATTTGAAATATAACGGCTAGTTACTGTTGGATTCAAAAAAAAATTTGGGCCAAATTTTTTTTTTATGAAATTTAAAATTTTTTTTTTCCTATAAATACCTAAGCCATTTCTACACCATTTCTCACATAATTTTCACCATTCCATACTATCTCACTTCATTCTATTTCAATTCTTCACATTATATTTTCTTAATTTTTTTCAATTCTTCACCTTATAATTCTTCACATTACCTCTTCCTATAATTTTTCCTTCAATTTTTTCAGTAACATTAAATAACATTAAACAACATAAAAATTATACAACATAAAAAAAAAACATTTAACAACTAAAACTTAGCCGTTGGATTTGAATTTAACTTGTAGTTTTTATATAATAAACTATGTTTGGCTCTCGATTAAAAACGATTTTTTTTTGACATTACTAAAACAAGCCCTTTGGCCCTCAGTTGGAGATGGAGGCAAATATGGCCATGTACTATTCATTAAAATATTAATATCTTGGAGGGCTAGTGGGCTAAAACGAGCTTTCTGGCCAACCCTCGGTTAGGACATCTCCAACCGAAGGGTCGAAAGGGCCAGAGGGCCGAAAATAGCCCGAAAACCGTCTCCAACCAAGGGCTAGGCTAGAGGGCTCGTGGGCCCCACAAAATCTGAAAGGGCCAAAGGGCTGGCTAGAAAATCAGAGCAATCCTGTCGGATATAACCGAAAGGAGTATATTTAATTCCTATCGATTATATCTGACAGGATTGCTTAAAGAAAATTTTGAATTCAACAGCTAGCTGACGCCAATTACCGTTGGATTCAAATTTTTTATTTTTTTTTGGGGCCATTTTTTTTTTTAAATTCTTAAAAATTCCAATATTTTCCTATAAATACCTAAACCATTCATTTACCATTCCTCACAAAATTTTCACCTTTCCTACACCATTTAAATTGTAGTTTTTAAAAAATAAATTATGTTTGGCCTTATGGCCTTTTGGCCCTCGGTTGGAGACGGTTTTTTGTGACAGGGCTAAAACAAGTCCTATGACCCTCAGTTGGAGATGGAGGCAAATATGGCCATGTACTGTTTATTAAAATATTAATATCTTGGAGGACCAGAGGGCTAAAACGAACCCTCTTATTAGCCTTCGGTTGGACTGGCCTTAGAGCCCTTCAAACCTTCTGGCAAGTGAAATGGGAATTCATTGGGTTGCCTCAGTACCCCAACAATTACTTATGAGTCTTTGCACGTGATGAACAGATTGATATGATATGGCACACGTCAAACAATAAAATGTTAACAAATAAACCAGAAGCTACATGGCATGGTATGAGTACACAATATACTTTTACATGGAAACTCTTTTTGAAAGAATGATAAAACATACGGCGAGTCTTCACAGATCAGAGAGCAGCATTGAATGTTTATCAGTGATTCCTCGTAATTAATATTGAATTTGATTCAACAAATAACTGTAACATATATAAACGTCTAATGCAATGCTGTTGATAGTAAGATACATGATGGTTATTTACTTGAGCTTATCTCAACTTTTCTGAGCTTCTCTTAGATCTGGGCCTTATGCTCCTTTCTTCCTCCATTGCTTCTCTACATCGTCAGTCCTCCACTACCGACCTTAATTTGCTACTCGGCCCATTGCGTGTCTCCCATCGACAGCGTACTTTGGTGTTGGATGGTTGTTAAAATGCTTTTAGCACTATTTGATAGGATTATGAGAGCACTTTTTACGCAGGTGGCTTGCTCATCCTCATTTTTCGTTCATCCAACTTGTTCATGGGTTCTTCCTCTTGGTGGTCGTGATAGATCGGCGATTGTAGCGTAGCTCCTTTCGTGGAGGCAGCAGTCTTTAGGATCGAGGGTTTTTATTGTTGTGGGTTTTTGCTCTTTTTTGGGCATTTGTGTTGTTTTTCTCTTTGGGGTTTCTATTTCATGTAATAGTTTCTTTAATTAATGAAAATTTTTAATTTGACAAAAAAAAGGTTCTATAGTTCGTCAAGCTTAGTCGATTAAATCATGCGATAAGAGAGAGATTGACAAAAGAAAATACATATACAACCAGTTGCGAGACAAATTTCTAACTAATGACTTCATCTAATTAAGGAGATCCTAAATTTTTAATGAGGCACATCTTTACTTGTCCCCTAAGCATCTTTTTCTAATGAGGCACATCTTTGGCGCAGAAGTACCGTAATTGGCCTTCAAACTTCCACAAACGGTTGCAAGTGCCCCAAATTTGGTATTTACTCTCTTTGTCATGATATGATTGCACATTTGCACTTTGGTTTTTCGCTGTTTCTAAAGATTCAAAACTAAGTAGTTATAACTTTGGTTGTGGAATTGATTAGTCTGTTTGTACTTGTAGTGCTCTATGTAAGGTTTAGTAAGATTTCATTTCATGAAACTAATTAATTTGTACTCTCTAACCTTCTTAGGCTTGCAAAGCTCTTGTACAACTCAGTCAAAGACGTTTAGCTGTTTTAATTTTACTAAAAGGGATGATTTCTTGAGTGAGTCAAGCCTTAACACAATGGAAATGTTGCTTTTTTGTGACCAAATTAATGTCACAGGTTCAAATTGTGAAAACAACCTATTTGTAAAGCAAGAGTAAAACTACGTTCAATAAACGTTTCCTGACCCTCGCAAAGTGGGGAGACCGTTCTCCCGACCCTCGCAAAGCGGGAAGACATGTAAAAGGGGATGTAGCTCAGATGATATCTTGAGCAACAATTTATACGACTCCTTTTTAGCTATCCGTTTTTCAATTTTTTACACTCATTGAATGATGAGGGTAAAAATTGAGGCTTAATTAATAAATTAATTACTAGCCTAACTATTTAGTAGTAATTAATCTGAATGTTTTAAAAATTGCAATTAGAGCAATACAAATGTTGCAGGCTAAAGTTGGATAGGGAAAATACATTTCACTATAAATTTGAAATTCGCATTATGCAAAAAGTAGCATATACCGGCTAATTACCCCAACTCAACTACTTTAGTTGCAACAAAACATACACACATTAGTTGATAGAACTTGCAAAGTAACACAAAGCAATTACTAATTAACCAACATACACAAATTACTAATTAACTTAAGCAGGAGGAGGTGAAAAGAAGGGGATATTAGGAATATTGAAAGGAGGGAGTGGGAAATTGGGAATAGATGAGAATGGAGGGGCATTAGGAATCTGAAATGGGGGTGGAAATGGGAATTGTGGAATCGGAACACCAGGAATTTGGGATGGAAATGGGAATTGTGGAATTGGAACACCAGGAATTTGAGGTGGAAATGGGAATTGTGGAATTGGAATACCAGGAATTTGAGGTGGAAATGGGAATTGTGGAATTGGAAAGCCAGGAATTTGGTTTGGTGGGAACTGTGGAATTGGGAGTTGGGGTGCAAAGGGAATGTTTGGAAGTGGTGGCAAATTCTTCATCTCACCCAATTCATCAATCTTGGCCTTCGTCACCTTTCCTTCACTTTGATGATTCCCACTTCCTCCTAGGGTTCTTCCATTACTTTGCTCCTCCTCAGCCCGTTTAGGTATCTCTGCTGGCTGCTGGCGTGATTCAACAAGATTGGCTGCCATAACGATCAGACTCAGAAACATGCAACACTGAATCAATCCCATCTTGAAACTCATTGTTGGGGAAGGCGTGAGTGAAGAGATATAAAGAGCTCAAGTTCAAAGCTTTGGTATTTATAGAGAGAGACAGAGCTATATGCGCATGCATGGCTCTTGATGGTCGTGCCCTAGCAACCAGCTGAACCAATAACCATTAGAAAGAGGGGGCAAAAAGGGGCAGGATTTTTTCGGTAATCGGCAGCGGCCAGCAGAAGATTGAAAGGAGTGCCGTTTCTGCCTAATCTCATTCGAACACTTAAAGCCATTTATGGTACTTTGACTTATACGTAGGTAGGACACTGTGAATTACAAAGTACGTGCCAAGAAAAGAAAGGTTTTCATGCATGCGCAGCTGCATGTGTCGAGCACTCGAGACCATATTTGAGAAATGCCGTTAAAACTCCGATGTTGCTCAAGACTATCGAAGGATCAGATTTCCAGTGGTAAATTAATGGGCACACATTGCAAGAATACAATACATATCGATCGGAACTAGGACCTCTTTGTTAATTAATAAGGATTGTGTTGAATGTTGCAGATCTAATTCGTTTGAGATTTACACAAAGTTAATTCCGTTGAGAGCATCAAATCCACATTGGAAAATGAGGGAACATTGCACGTGCTTATAAGTAGTTGAGCTATTCTCCACATGTCTAATTGATTTTATAGTGAATCTCAACTTTCTTCTTGGCAATGGCAGATCTAGGATTATAACTTTGGGTGGTCCTAATTAAGGGACGTTAGGGGGCGCCTATGCACCTGGAGACAAAGGCCTAGGTGGACTAGACGGATTTAAGTAAACTTATTATATTGTACAAGTAAGTTCCTATTTAAATTACACCTACAAAATAATATATTTTTATTGAGAATTTGAGGTTTATTATTTTAATTATGTTTATTATTAAACATATAACATACAAAAATATCAACATTTTTGCTTTAGCACTTTAGTGAATGTAATGGTATGAGATGAAAGTGCAAACAACTATGAGTTCATAGCACTTTACGAATATACTTTTCAAGGTTGTATGAATTTATATGAAATTAAAAATAATAATAACAGTGTCAAACATATGGTATAAAAATATTAGTTGAGTAAGACACCATCCTTTTTGTAGGTACTATTGTTTGTTCAAAAAAAAATAGTACACAATTCCTTTGCTAATTAAAATGCTAGGGTGACACAACGTGATTGGACAACAATTAAAAACAAAAGAGTTTGTTATGTGAGAAATGGAGAGAAAAGTCTTTTTTCTTCATTGTAACCAAGGTTCAAGAACATCAGAGCCATGATGGTTTCTCTCTGTCACCAAATATCCAAATCGTTGAGTGGTCCTCGAAGGTTCTCATAGGCGCTTTTTTGGATGTTTAGGTGGTCCCCAAACCGCCTGGGTCCAAGAGTGGATCCGCCCATGCTTCTTGGTATCAGAATAGGTTGTCCTGCATGTGAAACTCAATGACCACATATGCTCATTGTCATCCATTTTGTGTTGTCCAAGTGTTAAGCTTGAAAATTTACCGCAAGTTAGGGTGTATGTTGAGAATATCAATCCCAATTCGAAAAAAGAAAGAACCTTACATGTGCTTATAAGTAATTGATTGCAGTGAAACCTCAACTTTCTTCAAATTCGTTTATGAATTAGGATTTATTGCAACTTTTTTATTCCAAACATATGATGCATCTATCAAGACAGAAAACATAAAAAGTCTCATATTAATAATTTGATATTGATTTCCGAATACTTGAACATCTAGGTACCAAATCACCTTAAAGAGGGTAAGTTTATCCATTTCGCAGGGCCGGTCCTAAGAATTTGAGAGCCCTAGGCAAACGTTCGAAGTGGGGCATTAGACTTCTTTGACCCTCAATCTTTTGTACATTGATGTGTAAAAACAACCACTAAATACATGAAAAAGTATATTTCTACATCAAATATTATTAAAATTTATATCAAAAGAAGAAAAATATACAAACATTAGTTAAATATTATAATTTTCGCGCTTTTAGCTTATGTACCAAATTAAGTTTACATAATCTAATTTCTCAACCAATTCTTTTTCAATTGACCATGTTTTTATTTTTTGATATTTTTATTGAATTTTAATTTTAAATACATATATATATGTATATATATATATATATTATATATATAATTTTGATGCTCCTCCAAAGTGGGGCCTTAGGCGGGCGCTACTTCGGTCGGCTACCCGAAGGCCGGCCTTGCCCTTTCGTGAATGAAAAAGAGACTATTAGAGGCTGGGGAGCAGTAGTGTCCAAGAAACCTCATCCGCAGAGTTCCAGAGAAGAATAAAGAGATAAAGATAAACCTTTGGAACATGCATGTTAAGTCAGCTTTTCGGCACACGCCGCAGCTGCCATCGCCAGTTACAGTTCATTTCTATCATCTTTCATAAAAAATACGACTTCCATTGGCTCTAATCAAATTTTCAATGATTAATCACAACCCAATCCAACTAAAACCTTTGTTATCAACTGATATGCTGCATATTAGAAAGAGAGAGAGAGAGAGATGGAGTAACACTTACGTAGAATTTTTCACTGTATCTGCACAAGAGATGTTACAAGACTTACATGACCTTTCATTTACAATATAATGAATGAATGGTTAACCACATCTTGCAAGCAAGAAACCAAAACCAACCAAATAAGATACAGCACACCACCGTAGATTTTTAACCGTTAGCAGTAGTATTATATGTGATTTTGATAATGACTGACAAAGGAATGTTGATAACATGGCCTAGATTTCCAAGTAGTCCGACACTCCCATAGCTAGCAGTCGTGCTGTTACCCGTAGCATTAACGAATACACTTAAGATCTGTGTCTCCCCACTGGCAATCGAAAAATTAAGTGGAGACACCCTTAATGAAACTCCGAAAGGAGCACTCCAGCCAACGGTATAAGTTTCATTTTCAGCAATGTTCCTCACTGTTCTCAGCACCGTCCTAGACTGGTTTAGTTTTGCTATTGTTATTGATGGCAAGTTCAGGTCACCTCCACTGATGGTAGAATTATAAGCCCAACAGCTCTCACCGGTGTAATTCAAGACCACAGGAGCCGATCCATTAATGCCACAAAGAAATGACATATAACTGTCATAACCTACAACAAGAAGATATGGATTTTGGTTTTCAGACAAAATATACTACATCAAACACAAACATAATCACTTGAGGAATGATACACCCGCTAGTCTTTGCTTTTATTAACATCATAGTTTCAATAAGATGATTGTTATTATGAGATATAGATTTTCATTTTCCAAAAAAACAGCAAAGTTCTAAGCATATGGATCAGGAAGGGAGTTAACGTTGTTTACGAGAAGAAACAGAGTAACTTACTGGCATCAAAAATCAATCCTGGATTCAGCGCTGCTGTGGCATTCACAAAACCACTGCCCATATCAAAGGGCGTTGCTGGAGACTGATTTTGATCTGGAAATGCATAAGCACGCTGAGCCATTATGGCCCCACCATTCTTGTCATATAGAGAAGCTGTTGTGGAAAGTGCAGATGCAATGGCTGAAGGACTGAAGTTGGGGAACTTCTGCCTAACTAGTGCAGCAAGCCCAGCAATATGAGGAGCAGCCATGCTTGTCCCAGACATAATTGCGAAGTTCTCGCCTGAAGGATCAATACAACGGTAGTTACATAATAATGTTGAAGTAAAAACTGTCATCTATCAATCAAAATACTTTTGAGTAGTTTTTTTTTTTTTTTTTTTTCTCAGTAAACAAAGTAGTTATAGTTTGAATTATATTACTATGTCAAAGTTCTCACCTTGAAATTCAATCGAGTCTTGCCCAACAGAACTCCAAGCAGCCCATATAGAATTTCCAGGAGCTACCAAGTTGGGTTTCATTATGTCTGCATCATCAAGAAAATTGTCTTCCGGATCTGGACCTCTAGCAGAATAATACATGATCCTTGGCGCAGAACTACTGTAGTTTGCTTCCAAACCTCCACAAATGGCTGCAAGTGCCCCGAATTTGGTAATTCTCTTTGTCACAATATCTCTCTCCAAGGAAAGATTGTAGTATTTCATTAGAACCTGCCAAATATATCATAGAGTCCTCGTTAAAATATGAGAGAGAGAGATTTTGAATCTGGAACCGTATTCAGAAATTTGCACACCTTGGAATCTTCTGGGGACGGAATTATGATGCCAGGTATTTTCATTGGAGTTGGGTTAAGCTGAAAACCGATTACAAAAGCATCCATGGTGAACACAACACCAACTGCACTTAGGTTTTTGGCTGTTTCTAAGATTTATTGATGGTGAAGATTCCTAGCACAAATCGAATTGAGTAGCTACAGATCAAGAGGTTTCCCCGGATCAAATCCTGATTAAAGTTGCTCGGGTCTTGGCATTCACCCACATACATATCATCTGACACTGTTGTGCCATTGTTCAAAGCATGTGTGGCAGAGATCATTGTGTACATTGTATCTGTTCCCGCTGTAACAGAAACATAAGTAATCAGAAATAAGTATGTAAAATGTATCACCAATGGAAAAAGGAACTCAAGGTTGGGCAATGTAGAAACCGTGTGAACATAGATAACTTTAAATTTTAAAATCCCTCTTTATCACAAATGAGTGTAGATCTCTTTTCACAATTCTCTAGTGAAGGTTACTGGACTACCATACTGGATATCAAAGTAGCAGTCCATATAAGATCAATTGTGGATTTGGGTAGCTTATAAACTATAGTGCTCCTTGTTTCACTAAAAATTGGTGATACAGTTTGTAACTGCATAACTTCAAAGTTAATATTTAACCTAAAGCGTAAAGAATCAAGACAGGAATAGTTGTTAAGATTATCCTGTGTGACAAAATTAAAGCGAAGGAGCAATAAAATTTAGGAGAAAAATTTACATGCAAGTCCAACTCCAGTAATGGTGACATTGTTGCCAAGCATTATAGAATTGCTGTAGTTTCTGTCATGAGAGGCAGAGCCAACAGTGAATATCCATGGACTAAAGGAAGACATGCTCTTTGGTGATGGTCCGGTATTTCCTGCTGCTTGGACAACAAATATACCAGCCTTTACAGCTGATAGTAATGCCATGTCTATCGGATTGAAAAATGTTGCAACTCCGGGAGGACGCCGGTTGGGAGTGATTGATAAGCTTATTATGTCAACCCCATCCTGAGCAGCCTGGAATGCATAAATACATTATAATTATAGATGCTAAAATGGCAAAGAATCTATATAGAACAAGAAATATAGATAACTGATTTCTTATAAGTTTGAAACCCCAATGGAGACTTATCAGCATAAAATAGTTTCACTTCCTAGAAATAGACTAAATTGGCATGTACCTGATCTATGGCAGCAACAACATCAGCCGCAAAGCCTCCAAAACCTTTGTACAATGCCTTGTAAACAGCGATGCTGGAATGGATAGACATGTAGTTACAACATAAGAACATAAAACATTCCCAATTGTTTATGCACTGGAAAGAAATGAATTCTCTTGGGCATCAAATATTGATTTCTTAGGTTCTTTTTTTATAAAGATTTCTTAAGTTCTCAATGAGGAAAGAACAAGATGTAGGATGTTTGTTACTGCAAAGCGCACAAATTAATAGACAGAGTTTCGTTTTAGTTGTAAATTATAAAAAGTTGTTTCCGAGTCTCAGTGGAAGAGGTCCGCTGAAGATAAAAGATGACGTTTTAGAGGAGAATAGGAAATCTGAGTACCATGTCAGGAAGGAGTCTACTGAGAATCTGCCTTATATCTCGGCTGAAATGAGCTGTATGAAATCTATTGAGAAATAGTGAATCTTCTATCCCCAAGAAATCCCAAACAACAAATTGTAGTATGGAATTAGCTGTTTAATGTCCCTCTTAAATTCCTATCATTAGCTGGTGTAACATCACAGTGAAGTTTGTATACGGTTCAAGAATGTACTTGGTGATTAAAAGATTCTCAGATCTAGGTTAATTTTGTTTGTCACAAGTTCAACGAAAATTGCCGTTCAATAGAACTCCTTTTTATAACAGTAGTTTAAGCACGATATCAATAGACAAAGTGATACTAGGATCTAGAGTTGTTACTGTGCATGAGGAGCCATCCCACTTGCATTTCCAAAACTATGACCAGCTACAACCACTGGAATTCCATGGTTTCCTGCAGCAATGGAAGCGGTGTGCCTGTAAATTAAAATGAGATCCTTCAACTGCCTTTTAAAATGGATGTTAAGAACAAGAAAGCAGACATAACTACATCATCTTTTCATAGAATTTAAAAAGATACTTTATTGTGCTTTAAATATCATTGAAAGAGCTAAATAGGATTTTCTCAGAATGCAATTTGAGAGGTCATACGACCATGTCATGTTTACATCAAGTAGATGGGTTAGTAGTCTTTTAAAAAATTTCTTTAATGTCGAAATAAATTGCGTAATTTAGGTGCATGTGTGAACTATGATTAATTAAGAACTAAAATATATTTCATTGCAATGAAAACACAGAAAGCTATTACAGTTGCACACACACATATAACCTCCAAAATGAATATCGGTGCAAAGCATGCAGGACCTCAAATAACATAAAGAAAAATAAAAGAGAAAAATATACAAGGGAAGAGTTTAAAAAAAAAAAGTTATCGTATGGCTTAGTGCCCTAACATAGATTATAGATGGTCATAGATGGGTAAACAGAAAACAGACATTTGAAACTATGAGATGGGCTCGGGGTTAAGTGAATCTCATATAAGACAAGACTACAAATTTTCCAATGTAGCATTTTTTTTTTCCCTATGTCTTTGACTCTTTATATGAAAGCACTAATGTAACAAACTTCAATTTGAGAGAAAATAACACAGATGCAAAAGAAACAATAGAGCAGTTTCTCTGGGGCAAGTTAGAAACTCACGTGCCATGACCATCACCGTCAAATGGAGAAGCATAGTCCTGAGATGAATTGAAAACACCTCTGGTTATAGCGGATGATGCAAAATGGCGGGCTGCAATAAGCTTCCTATTGCAGGACCCAGATGGGAAATCCGGAGTAACCTCACAGATGCCACAGAAATGGGCCGGAACTGGATATGGACGTTCAGATGCATGGTCATCAAAACTAATGTGAGTTGGATCAATGCCAGTATCGATAAACCCAATAACAACCCCTTCTCCAGCTGATTCATATCCTCCTCCTTGAGCCCATGCTCCTTGTGGTAAACCCAAGAACTGAGGGGTATGGGTGGTTGCAGTTCTAACAGAAAAGTCCAAAACCACATTTGCTACTTCTCTCCTCCTTGAAAGCTTATCAACCTCCAAAATTCAGAAATGCCACCACATTAGGTACTTGATCAAATAAATAATTTCAAGAGGACACAAGATGCAACAATACAGGACACACAATGTTCCAATTTACTCAAATGTATTTGACAATCAAAATTAACAAATATAATTATCTAAACATATTTCGCATCCTTGTATGGATTTTTATATAAAAATGAAGAATCCATACCTGATCTTGGGTAACAAACACAGCAAATCCGTTTATCAAGTAGTGGTAGCTGTATAGCTTCAGATATTTCTCCCCTCTCAACACCCTCCTCAATAATGAATCATGAGCTCGAGCGATATAAGAGCTATACCTACCATCCCTTCTCGAAATATTTCTAAACCTAAAAGGAAGACATTAAAATCATCATCAATCATGCTCAAGGTCCTACCAATACAAGCTACCAGAAAATATCAACTAATGTAAGATAAAACGGAACAATCAGGGATAAGTTTGGAGGGGAAAGAAAAAGAAAGCACAAAACATCATAGGAATGTGGGATACTCATTAAGAATGAATAAATAACTTTTTTGACATGGTGAACAACTTAATTACTGCCCCATACAGGAAAATTTACTCAATTCTTTAGCAAGATAAAGGGGGAAATGGACAACATTGTATGTGCAAGTTCCACACCTTTATAGGAAACAATTCGTACAGATGATATATGGAAAAAGGAACAACAACATAGGACCCCATGAGCAAAAAACATCCAAGCAAATTGGTTTCTCCACATTTGATTTGAGCATTCATCTTGATTTCAAAGGTGCATAATTAGCCATCAGAAAACAAAAATTCACAACTTTAAGCAGTACTAAATCACAATTGAAAAGCCAATTCAAGGTGAAATAGCAAACTAGTTTTAGAGAGTAAGAAAATCTTGGTAAATGAAGGGTCAAAATGGTTACCTTGGTTTGTGAATGTTCAACCTCTCAGAAGCACCGCCAGGTCTAACACCATTTTTGCTGCTCCTTCTCAACTCTGCATCATAGTGAACGGCCGGAGCTTCTCTGAGAGTAACGATATACACAGCCGCGAAGTTATCAGAATCCTCGTCTTGACAAAAAGAAGTCATAAGCATCCCCAGAAAAAGCACCCCCATCAAAAGCACCCCATGGAAGCTTCCCATTTTAGACCTAAAGCAGCAACAAGAGCATAATCCTAGAAGAAAAAAAGCACTTCCCCAGATGACCAAAATCGGCTTTTGGGCAAGTGCTTAGCAACCCATGTCCTCTATTTCTCAAAGCAAGCTTATTTCATGGAGCATTTGCAGAATGTGGAAAGAAGCAGAGCTGCAGAGGGAAGAAGAAGCAGAAAACCAGAGACCCTTTTTCTGCAATGTGACAATTGGTGTGAAGGGTAGAGATAAGAAGTGATCTGGCCGAGAAAGCTGACTGCTTTTCGCTGAAAAAGGTTCTTTTTTGGTACACTTTGGCTTCTCTGTGTGTGTGCAAGAAATTAGAGAGTACACAGAAGACGAGAGAAGAGACGGACACAGAGAGAGAGAGAGAGAGAGAGAGAGAGGGAGAGTAATGAATAGCTGGAGGCTGGAGCACCGAGAATCTGTGTACACTTTCTTGGATTCTGTGCATTTGGCCGTTTGTTTATGCAAAGGGGAAAAAAAAGCTACGGTCTTTGAATCTTTGGACTCCGAGAAATATGAACGTTTTGTTTTGTTTGTTCTGTATGGTTACTTTGTACATAATTTCTTCTTGTATCATTTTTTAACCGAGTCACATTCTAACAGTTTAGCATTGTTGATACTATTCTTTATTACTTTTCACATGTGTTTTTTTTGTTATTCAATTAAAACTGTTCACACGTCAGATTTAAAATTTATCACACGTAAGAAATGTATAAGAATGTGAAATCAAAGTCGTACATTGATGAATTAAGAAACATTACATGTGCTTATAATGATTTTGATTGCTCATTCTTTTTCCGATTAATTTAGACTGAAATTTTAACTTTTTTCAATACAATATAAATTTTTTGTTTGTTTTGGAAAAGAAATTAATTAAAGCACAAAGTGGCTAGGACAACCATTGCTAACATAATCCACAAGCAATAGATGTCTTGCACGATAGTGATTAACAAACAACCAAATACAATCAAAATTTTGTGTACGTCTGAAACTAGCAAGAACATCAGCTGCAAAATTAGCTTTTCTAAAAACAAGTATGAGTAATGAGTTGTGATCGTCCAAGGAACTCAATTCCTTCCAAGCACACAATCAACCATTCCACCAAAGGGAAATGTGAGTCAAGCTCCACATTTTCTGGCTATCTGCTTGGGAAAGTAATTACAGTAGTTCATTGCCTTGTAAACAAGAAGGGAATGGTGTTGGTTTGATGTTCGTTCAAGTCAACGAGAGATTTTTCACTATGTCAGAAACACAAATCGATACACTAAATGTCATAATGCAAGTGGTTAGATATTTGAAAAGAAAAATAAAATTTAACCATTTATATTATAACACTTAATTTACGAATTAGTGTTCTCAGCATACTAAAATTGTCTCCAGATCAACATTCTTTCTTGTCTTGGTCCCCTTGTTTTCTTTTGGAGATTGCCAAGTTTCACAAACGTTCTAATTTTTTAAGGTCACCCATGGTATCCTCTGCAGAAGAAATAGAGAGAGAGAGAGAGAGAGAGAGAAGAAAGAAGGTTTTGTTGGCCCTTTTGGGTGTTCTGTTTGTCTCGTGGGTGGGGGTCTTGTGAGACGGTGGTGTATTGAGTACACCATTGATGAGTGCGCATGTGAATACCACAAAAAGGGCGAATTTCGGTGCACCTTCTATTGTCTGGAATCAGATGACTTAGATATTTTGGGTACATTATTGAAAGTGATGTCATAGTTTAATAACACAAATAAAATGTGTTACATTGTATGAGTGTAACAGTGAGGGTATACTAAATCGACAATGAAGTATTTGTAGTCAGTTCTATTTTTCATTGAAAATTTAGTGGATTTTATTTATGAGTTTCTCTCGTTTTCAATTTTATTATAAAATTTGTAACCAGTTCAATTTTTGAATCTTTTACATATATATTTATAATCCAAATCCCATATGGTAGCCATACTATAGTATGACGATGCAATGCATCCATTGTGCACTTTAGGAAGTATGATTTAATTAATAGTCGTTGGGAGCTAAAAGGAACCTGATTCTTACAATCATTTGGTCACTCTTTTTTGGGTCCAAATTGATGGCCTCCTCCATGTGGCAATATCAAAGGGAAAAGCAAAAAAAACAAAAGAAGAAAGAAATTGTCTACCGTTGCAGTTGGTCTTTGACTGATTCGTGTCGTGAAACTTACACATAACATTGTTTTAGTATAGCAAAATATCATGATAATATGTGAACTCATTTCATATAAGTCTTTCTTCTAAAAAAGGCTAAGCTAACTTTATTTTTTCATCTTGAGCTTTTGGTTTAGTCCGTTGGACTGATCTTGGACTCTCATTATTCATTTTCCCAAAGCCCAACAATACCAAATGGGCTGAGGTCCCACGTATATGTCAATGGTTTAGCCTGAGAGGAAATGGTCTCTCCTCAGACCAATAAGTCGCCATTCTGTTTATCGTTAATCTTCATACGTTATCATTTCGTTCATCAGAAGACAGTAGGCATATGTCACTAGTTTCTTTCGGTAAACAACCTTTTTGTTTTTTGATAAGAAACCAAAACTTCACAGTTAAAAATCGTTCATGAGACGTAAGGGACTGGTAAATAATTAACTGATATTACTGAAACAGTTGTCTTTCCTAGTGATATTTCGCTTCTGCCCTTCTGAAGGTATGGAGAAGACCATCACTTGGGCTGGCAGGTGCCTAATGGGGGTGACTTCCCACTAGTCACCAACGAAAGCCATAATGTTCTTGATATCATATATACGTCTCCACTCCTAACCCTCGCTAGGCCTTACAACACGATCTTTTCTTGTTTTAATGCATGCTTCGACGCTTGTAGATATGTTTGTTAGAGTATAGGGATATGGAGGGTGTGGATCATGACATATGTCATTAGCCAAACAGATAAGGCAGTTAGGATTGTTGCTAGTGTAAGATTTGAATAAGGCAGTTAGGTGAATATCCATCTATATAGCAACTATATCTTTGCAATCAGAGAATCTATCGAGAAAATCATTCTCTTTCTCTCTCAAAGTTTTCTCTGTTTCCTTCTTCTTCTACAATTTCTCTGTTCTCTTTTCTACATAATGCTTAACAAAGTTTGCATGTCTTTGTGAACTTCAATTGCAGGTGAAGTATCGAACAGCCTTGATGAAGTTGATGGGGTCATAGACCACAGAATCATTTCCAAGTTCACGTTAAGTTTCAAAGATCCTATACCCACCCTTCAAAAAATCGTTCTTATGGCTTTCCGTGAGTTTCATTTCTGAGAATGTTGATTACGTAACATAAACAACGAATACATGTTATCTTACTTGTGATGAACTATAGATGCACGACAGTAATTGCTTCCGAAAGTGTACCGTCTGTTGTTGATAATCGGCCAAAGAATGCTGTGAAGGAGCCTTAACAGCTAGAGCCTGCATCACAAACTTACATCGTGGTTCGGTTTTGCTTCTGCAATTAAGCCTGCATCGTATACAAACCACACCATTTTAGTGTAACGTGGCGTTGCATATTGCTTCGTACGCATATCACTTGTATCCATTCTACGTACATATATTGTGCTTGTATATGTTGAAATTTAATAATAATATAATAATATTAAATTTATTAATTGAATGGAAATTAGAAGTGGAGCCTTTTGGTAGAAAGATATGTCTACTTAAATGAAGTGTTGCAACTTTTGATTCTTCATGAAGAATCACATGTTTTCTAAAGAGGTATCATAAATTCTATAAATAAGGAAGCCCCCTATAAATATTAAAATAACTTTCATTCTTTATACAATTATACATAGAGTGCATTAAATATTAGAGTCTCATAGAGTCCATATGAGAGAGTTTTCAACATAATTGTGGTTCATGGAATCTTGTGATTTGAAGTGCTACTATTACAAGGACGTGATCCTTGTATATTAGGAGACATGCGCTGATCAACCATAAGCACTGTGCTACCATTATGTCATGTTCATTTAACATTGATTACTTATATACATGTATTATTATGATATATAATTGCATGAAGTATTTCTTGATTTTATATGTGATTTAATATAGTAAGTGGACTCTAATTTTTTTCCAACAGTATCTACGTAATGCAATACAAGGGTAAACCTGAGTTGGACCAACCTTACCAACCCGAATTTTGGACAACACATACACAACCGGGCTTTGCTCTCCTGCACATGAAAGGAAAAAAAAAAAAAAAAAAAAAAAAAAAAAAAAAAGGTCTCTGAGATTTAACTAAATCTCAACCGTTCACTCAGTAGGAAAATGTGTGCAGTCGAGACTAAGACCTGGTTTGGTACTGAGGTGATTCTGAAAAAAGCTGGTATCGAAAAAAGCTGGGAGCTGTTTTTTTGTTTGGTAAACATTCAGCTTCAGCTTTTTTTCACAGTTTTGGGTGAAAAAAAGCCAAAAGCAAGAAGCTGCAAAACCCAGCTTTGAAAAATCGGCTTTTTTTCACATATGTTTTACATAAAAGTTTACCAAACACTATAATACTGTTTTTTTTTTCAAAAACACTTTTACAAAAAAGTTTACCAAACACTCTGCTGCTTTATTTTACAGCCGCTTATTCTCACAGCACAGCAGAATCAGCTTTTTTTCAAAGCACAGCAATACCAAACCAGCCCTAACTGACTTAGTAAGGTCGGTCAAACTTTATCGACTTCTTCTCCTTGGGTCGACATATGTAAGCTTCATACAGTGATACAATTTCCAGGGCTTTGCCAGCTTTCTCTCTTCTACTTTCTATCATTTCGTTCTATCATTATGTATGAAATTATCTATTTTCTAATCATTTCTTACGAATTATATTTACTAAAAAATAAAATAAAAAATCAACCATATCGAAAATTGTTCCTAACTTCAATGCAATCAACTATTGTAAAATACATAGATTAATCCAATTTTAACACAATATATAGCAAAATAATTTTTAGTTTTACTGATTTTTTGCTACCTTTGTTTATGTCTCGTTTAATAAAGTAACTCTGGTCACATGTGTGGTAATATGGTTAATCACAATACGTGGTTAATATTGTTTGATGTGCAGAGGGCACGCCAACGTTGACAACTGCGCACAATGTTGTCTAGTCTCCACTGGTGAGCCCAAGGTCCTTCAAACCAGACAATCATTCGGCTTTCTTTTTATATTTCTGGTTTTTTATGTCATTTTATTTATTATGCATTTCAAGTTTAAAATTACTGTTTTAATTGTTAGATTTGATTTTTACAATTATTACTTATTAGATGCTTATTTTGTTTATTCTAACGTATAGTAATGTTATATATTGTAGCACTTTTAATTTTGGATGTCTAAATAGTTTTATTATTTATATAAAAAATGGCATTCAAATGCATGAATGTGGCAGTCCAAGACGTCTACGACGGTCTTACACACCCAGCGCAGGAGGAATAGACAAAACGTAAAATAAGATAGGTGCCAAACTTTGACTAAACAAATTGTCAAGCTCGCTGAATCTGAATCTGGTTTTGGAAATTACTTGGAATATTATGCAGCGCAGAATTCCACATGATGTAAGCTAAACTTTTAATTTTCTTCATACAAATAATATATATCGGACGTGAGTGAAGCGAATTTAAAGCATTAGATATAAAAGTAAATACTTTTAAGTACTTGACAAGTCATTTTAATTTCTGTCATTTGAAGAATTAATGAAAGTTCCATCACAAAACGAAGAGATGGTTGTTAGAGAGAGACCTGAGTGATGCAATTTGCTTTACTTTGTCACTTCCAATCTCACTCTAAATTTCCTCTTTCTGTTAACTGAACATTAAAAGTGAACCGCACTAAATGTGTTCAACGTGGATCATATGTTGAAATATTATGTGTTCAACGTGGATCATATGTTGAAATATTACATGGATCTCAAGTGGATTAGATGGACAAAAAAAAACTCAATGGGTTGCAAATTTGTAATATATACCTTTTCTACATGTGAGAGCAAATTTATTTTGCTTTCTATTTTGCGAGAATGACTTGTACATAATGTGTTCGTGCTTGGTTAGCACATCAAGTTATTTTGATAGGAATTTTATATCTTTATTTTCTTTTGAGCAAATAACTTTTTCTTCCACAAGGTATTGCAATGTATTTCTATGGGATTGCAGGTCTTTCTATTAACTCCTATTTGTGGTGCACAATTTCGTAGAATGTAGGTAGTAGTTATGATCGATTCGATATAAAGGAGGGCATAGTGTGTATTTTTTGTTGAGGATTTCTTGAAAAAATAATCGCATATTCTTTTGATTGGTTATAAAAGATATTTACGTAATATTTCGATTCAATAATACATTATTATGAGTAAAAAATTTTCACTTGTCAATACATTATTCGACCATAACGAGAAATCCATTGAGAAATGAATCCACAAACACGGAATCTTTAAGAAAATATTTTAGTGTGGGTGATTAGGATATATTAAACTAGAATTTTGGTTGGGGTAGGCTACTGAAATAATCGCGTATTATTCTTATACTAGGTCCTGCCATACTGCATTTGGTAATTATGGTAGGGTCAACAACAGACAGCCACTACAAAATTACAAATTCCAAAGACCCTGTGATGTTTAAAATACTTGGATCAAACTTGGCTGCAGAACTCAATCTTCTCAAGGGTTTGCGTGTTTGTTAATTATCAACAATCTGATTAAGATCTACGAGAATATTACGATTTTTATCGTCTATTTGGGTTGTATTTTATACCATTTTAAGTGTCAGCATATGGACATCCACGTCCTTTAAATAGTTTGAATTTTTTTATTTAATTAAAATAATTAAAACAACCAAAAAGGAAAATAAATTTAAAAAAAAATCCTAAAACCAACAGCGTGAAACCTAGGATTTAATGGTTTTCTTATGTCGTTCTCCTCCCTCCTCCTAAACTCCTTTTGTAGCCACGTCCTTTAAATAGTTTGAATTTTTTTTATTTAATTAAAATGATTAAAACAACCAAAAAGGAAAATAAATTTAAAAAAAAAAAATCCTAAAACCAACAGCGTGAAACCTAGGGTTTAATGGTTTTTTTATGTCGTTCTCCTCCCTCCTCCTAAACTCCTTCTGTAGCCACCGTCTCCCTACAACCCCACAACCCTCTGAATCAACAATCTTCATCGGCGCTCCAATTTCCATGCTTTGATTATTGTTGAGCATATATCAAAGCTTGGATAATTACAAAGTGAAGTTTTGAGTCTTTTGACTTTAATCATGGAATCTCTTCTAACAAGAGAAAAACCATGTACTAATTAAACTAGATAATTAATTACAAGGTGAAGTTTCAACTTTATTTAGTTTTGAATCATTCCCCCTAAAGATTCTTTAAATTGGCACATGTATAGTGCCCTTAATTCCCCACTTAAAAAAGCTAGTGAACTTGGCACGTACATGTTTTAGGACAAAGTCCAAAGACTTTTTTATGACCGGCGCGAGTGGTGACTTGGTTGGTGAGCAGTATGCATATGAGTCGAATATGATGAAGTCAATTATTGGCATCTGGACGACCAAGTCATGCGTCAGTAAAAACGTTAAAATTCTTAACAACGCAAAACCTCAGAAAATATATACAGGTCGACGATTCGAATTGTCTATATTTAGATCTTCTTTTAAAGATCATGTTTATTAAAAATTATATGATCGTTGGATTATATAAGTCACTTGAGCATTTATTTGTAAACCCGTATTTCTTTGTAGCCTATTTTATCTAACAAAAGGAATAGGACCGACGGCAAGGGTAGAGAAATTGAGAGAGATGTATTTATAGAATTGTAGGAGAATATGTGTTGTTATCTCTCCTACATTATGCCTTTATTTATAGTAGTAAAAGGAGAGAATATATTCCTTCTTCCCCAAGTAATAGAAGTTGTAATAGAAAAGGATAACTAGAATCAAATCTAATTTAGGATTTACACAATCACACTTAAACTAGGAAAATTTACAACATTCCGCCTTGAGTGTGTAAATACTCAAGGTAGATTCAGCATCATGCAAAAGTTGAGGAAGTTGACTCGTCGACATTGATTATAAGGAACAACACTTATTCTCAATAAGGTAGGAACTTGCATAAGTAGTAAGTCTCACTAAAAAACCTAAGGCTATGGAAAAAAACCCGAGGAGGGACAAAATCCATAATCTAAGGAAAAATGTGTGAGAAATACAAAGTCAAAAGAAATGTCTACGGGACGTCATCAGGGATATGACCAGCCTAAGGTGAGTGCCTCGTTAAAACCTAGTAGGGTAGCAAAAACCCAGTGGAAAAAAATGCTCCTAATCGTAGGGAAAAATAGTACAGTAAGATCAAGCAAGTATCTTTAAGATACTCCCCCTGAGTTTGACACAATTCATAAGAGAAATAGCAATGTTATAACTCATAAAGGTTTACACATACCAATTCCATGAACAAGCTTCTGAAACGTCGTCTTCGACAGTGATTTGGTGAAGAGGTCGGCCAGATTGTCATGTGAACGGATTTCATGACTTCAATCTTCTGATGCTCTTGTTGTTGATGTGAAAAGAAAAATTTCGGCGCAATGTGCTTGGTGTTGTCTCTTTTGATATAAGCCTTCTTAAGCTGTTCGATGCATGTTGCGTTG